TAAATGTTGTTAATAAAGTAATTTTTTGTATCTGTGTCTTTTTCATACAGAGGCGTTTGGGAGATGCTGCCAAAAAAGCCATGAGTAAACTTCAGCTACGCACTATCAAAAGAGGAGACAAGGTAACTCAAGTCTGAAAGTACACATACAGCCACAAAAGTCTTCTTATTTATGTTTGAATTACATGACATGAATTCGATCATTTTTAAAGAATTTATTGGCCTCTTATTTTCTGTCTTGTTTAAGGAAACAGAGTCGGACTTTGACAACTGTGCAGTTTGTATTGAAGGTTATAAGCCTAATGATGTTGTGAGGATATTACCATGCAGGTAACCTTTATTTATACCTTACATATATATTTTTTCTGTGGGGAAAAAATCACATGCACTGTAATATATGTGTTTTTTGCACTGCTGTCTTGTTTGGTCAGACATTTCTTCCATAAGCACTGTGTAGACCCGTGGCTCCAAGACCACCGAACGTGTCCCATGTGCAAAATGAACATCCTCAAAGCCCTGGGAATCCCAGTGGGTTGTTTTGCTTTATCACACAGTGATAATGATAAAGTGATAATGTAACTAATCAAACCTTACATAAAGCTTTGACAGTGATAAAGACATTAGGATGCCTCTGATATGTTCCAGTTTAGCGCGGACTGCTCGGATGAGGTTCCTCCAGACTACGAGATGTCTGTCGGAGGTCCGCCTACCAACCCCATTAGTGGAGCGAGCGAAATCACAGTTAACGAGAGCTCGGTAGAGTTGGATCCAGCAGAAAGAGGAATAGACCTGCCGGCACTCCATCCTGAGACAGAGTCAGCGCTTCAGGCGGGGGAGAGCCATATCTTTGCCAGCAGTGCGTACAGACATTTTTTACTTATAGCAGCCTGTGACAGTGGTGGAAAGTACAAACCTGATTCTGAAAAAGTTGAGATTCTGTGTAAAATGTAAATAAAAACAATGCAAAGATTTTTATAAACTCATATCTTAAGAAAAATATTAGCTCATTTTGAATTTGATGGCAGCAACACGTGAAAAAAGTTGGGATGGAGGCAACAAAGTGCTGGAAAAGTAAGTGGTGATAAAAAGAAACAGCTGTAGGAAAAATTAATTAGGTTATTTGGCAACAGGTCAGTTACACAATTGAGTATAAAAAGAGCATCTTAGAGAGGCTTAGGAGTTTTTTTGTGTATATAATATACAAAAGTACTGATATCTGAGTACTTCCTCCAATCCAGTGCTAATTCACACTTACTTTAACACAATTAAGAAAATCAGTTTTCCAACAGCCTGCCCTTTGTGACGTTTAATGCATCCATGTTTGAATGTTTTCAAATTAAATATACATGAGGTCAGTAGCCACTTGGTCAGTGTGTCCCAATTCAAGTCCTCCTGTCTAAGATAAAAACAAGAGGAAAAACTCAAGAAAGTCACTAACTAACCTACCTAAACCCTTCGTTCATTGCATTTCTGTAACTTATATAATCACCTAAGGGCTGCGGTGTTGCCACTTTGCAGCGTGTGTTTATGGGTGTGAGTTCATGCAGAAGCTCTTATGTGTTTTTCTGAACATGATCTCTGATGCCAAACTTTTTTACATTTTACCAAAACAGGGAGTGGGGAGTTTAAGTGGGGTTTTTTTGTAGCAGCATGTTTTTTTAAGCAGCTGTTAAATTGACGAAAAAACAAAGAAGGCGTTTTGTTACTCTTTCTTTATATGATAATAAATCCAATAGTGTTTCGCAATTTTTCCTACTTGCAAAGCATAGTATCATAAACCTGTTGATTTAAGTTTATGACTAATGCTTACGTTTACTTGCAAATAACAAGTTAATTGAGAGGTAGTATATTAGTTTGCCAGAGGCACAGATCGTAGTCGAGTGCGATGAGAATATAAATCAGACCGAATAAATCGTATGTTGCAGCTCATGCACCAGTGCGCAAACAGATGATGGCACTGACAGGGAGTCAGCACGGGATAAACAAGCTGATCTGCCAGGATTTCTGCTGTAGCGGCTTGGCAGTGATGAAGTGCCAGTCATGTTGCTCTTTACCCTGAGTAATTAGCAGGACTAGTAATGTAGCTATCACTCTTTCCAGTCAGCCATTTAGTGCAGGTAAAAAGACCCTGATTTCTGGACTTCTGTCTTAATGCATTGCTCACATGCTTATATGAAGACTGAAAACATTGTTAGTTGTTGAACAAACCTGTTTCTGTTTAAAATGAAACAAGAGCTTGAGCAAAAGTAATCTGCTTTTTCACATTTGTGTATCTGACGGATGGCATTCAACCATCACATAAGCACTGAAGCATACTTTGGAACACTCTGTACACAATTTCATTATACATGTACAATGACAATGAAGGGCTATTCTATTCTTTTAAAATTCCCAGCTTCGTTTTCTGCTTCGAAACCCTCTCCACAGTTCAGCAGGAGAGAAAGGAAAAAAAACATTTGAGAGCATCATTTGTCTGTATGACAGCACCAGTTGTTTTCTGCACACTTGCATGCAGTTTTTCAAGGTTGGTGGTAGGAAGGTTGCTCAGTCCTCTTTGGTAACATCACACACATCTATGGGTTACACCAACTGTTCATTAATGCAGTTAATTATTAGTATATTATAGTTATTAGTGCACCAAAACAGCCTACTGTACTAAGCATCAGAATGGGGGAGAAAGGGGGTTTAAGTGACTTTGAATGTGGAATCATTATAAAGTTGTTGGCATGAGATGGGCTAATATTTCAGTAACTGATGACCTGCTGATGATTTTCCCACACAAAAATGTCCAGGGTTTACAGAGGATGGGCCTGAAAAGAGAAAATATCCAGTGCGTGCCAGTTCTCAATGCCTTGCTGACAGAAAGCAAACAGTAACTCAAATAACCACTCATTACAAGTGAGGTGTGCAGAAGAGCACATAGACTACAGCAGTAGCAGAAGACCGTCCGGGTGCCAAACCAGTGAGCTAAATAGTTGTAAACTGAAATATCTAGTAAGTGGTACTTCTCTGGGTGAAAACATCATGGGAGAATGTCCATACTCCTTTGAGTTGATAGGACGGCAAAAGTAACTCCATTGGGTAGGCATCCGACTGTGACACCTCGCCTTGTGGTAGTCAACACAGAACCGTATAGAGCCATCTTTCTTCAACACAAGAATTATGGG